CCTTTCTGGGTGCCTGTTCCGGTCGATGGCAGACATAGAATGCTTCCAACTACACGGGGGCTTCTATAGGCCATTGCTCCCCTTGCCTCTCTGAGGGGCCCGGTTCTGGCCGTGGTCCCCGTAGGCCTAAGAACTCCATACACATGACTGATGCCAAAGTCTGACATTAGCATATCAGCCTGGGATAGCTCCGGGGAGCCAACGGGGCTCCCCCCAGAAAAAATAATAAAACTGCATTGGAAATACATAAACAATTGAAAATATATTTGTGGCAACACCCGGTGCTTGAATGGTCCGCGCGACCGTGTCTGAGCGATTCACGCATGGGCTACCGAGCCCCTGATGACGTCACAGCACACCTTGTCCACGTCCCCACAGCCAAAGTAAGTGTGAGCCACAACCAAGACCTAGTGGTATGCAGGCAAACGTGCCAGAGTGCACTCCAGAGGAATCTTCACTGCCTGATGATATAATGGAAGAGGACTTCCCTTCCAAACAGGAACACCTCTCCTCCTCCCCCCTTCTCACCATCTTCCATATGCCAACAGAAGTCATCAGCAAGGGTAAGTAATAACTTGAACATACTTTTGTAGTGAAGATTTGGGTGAATTAGGTTTAAAATTTACTTTGAAGTGAAGTTTTTGGAGAGTCAGGAATGGATTAATTCATTTCCCATTATATGTTATTGGAAATTAGCTTCAGTATACGAATTTTCGGGTCACGAACCGTCTCCAGGAACGGATTGAATTCTTAAACCGAGGTACCCCTGTACTTGTTTAACCCCTTAACTGTGCGGCCTCCAAATATGACACCCCCCATTGCGCAGGAAATACATCTCTGGAAAAAATTCTTTTCCTTTTTTAAAGTGTCGAAAACCCTTTTCTGAGTAAGGATATAGTAACAAAGGTCGAAATTGTAAGTACTGTACTTTAGTTGCTATGGAGTCCGTAAGTTCATGCGTGATGTCATCATTCCCTGGTCGCCCGTGGAATATGCCCCCGGGGCCGGTAGGGCGCTTGGGGCAGGATGCACACAGTTCCAAATACATTTTATATGCTTTTACGTGCCAATCCTATGTATAATGAACACGTACACTATTATGGCAGTAGAACATCCATACTGTCTGAAGACACTGTGTTACGTGCATGACACATGTGTACACATATCTGGCACATATTTCCATTGTATTATGTTAATTTATGTATATATACAGTCTATTTACACACTATACACTATCACACACTGTATACATTCACCATGAACACACTCGGAACTCTGCGAGTGTCAGCTGCCACACCCCTCACTCCTTTAACATCCAGTCTCTCCCTCACTCCTCCTCCATCTTACTCACTAACATTGCTCCTCCCACCATACTGTTATTGTTTGTATTACACTATCTACACATGTTATGTATACCTATCTACATGTTTTATTCACCAGAACTATGCAAGTAAGCTAGCATTGTGTCCAAACTTTACAGTGGCCACCATACACTGCATGAGAAATCACACAGCAGCCACAGACGATGCTAGATTACGTCACCTCCCTCACCAAAATAGCTCCTCCCAACACACTCCTGTTGCTGTTACTACACTATATATACACACACATTGTATATACCCATGTACAAATATGTTCACCATAGGAACATTAAGGTAATATGATGACAAAGTAAGTAATTATCAAAAGAAGGCACCAAACCAGGAAGGCTATGTAGCACCATCAAATGTGCGGAATAATCAGAGGGCGCTAAATATCACCAAAGATGCCAATACGAGAACAAAAACGCATAAGACGAACGATATCAAAAGTATCCGAGTTACCAAGAATTCTATTGAGGGACAGGCGACCGCGGTATGATGAGCAAAACAAAAGGGACTTCCACACACAGTGAGGCAACCACAATTCCTCTCCCTCGCTCCCTGATCACAATTACTCCTCCCACAATACTACGCACAGTGCTTATCATCACTACAATCCTGCTATTACAATACTGGTCACTAAATCCTGTAAATACATAATTGACCACAAGTTTATTTTGTAAAGGAACCAAAGAGGTCGTTTGAAGATTCCTAGATGGACGAAATAATGCTGTGGCTAGCACTGTGAACATCGTGAACAGCATTGAATCACTAATATTTGAACATGTACAAAGTCATTATCACACTCAGGCTCTTCTGTAATACTATCATGGCTAAATACTACAGTGGTACCTCGGTTTAAGAGTTTAATCCGTTCCTGGAGACAATTCGTATTCCGAAGCTAATTTCCCCATAAGAAATAATGGGAAATGAATTAATTTGTTCCTGACTACCCCAAAAATCCCACTTCAAACTAAATTTTATACCTAATTCATCTAAATAAACCTACAAAACTATGTTCAAGTTATTACTTACCCTTGTTGTTGAATGCTGTAGGCGTATGGAAGATGGTGAGGAGGGGGGAGGAGGAGGAGAGATGTTACTGTTTGGAAGCGGAGTCCCCTTCCATTACATCAGGCAGTGAGACCTTTCTGGTGTGCACTCCCTGGCACGTTTGCCTGAGTACCACTAGTTCCTGGTTGTGGCTCACTGCTCGATTTTCTCACAACAAATCTGTCCATGGAAGCTTGTTTTTCCCTTCTTTGCAAGCTATCTCTGTAGTAAGGCATCACATTGTCATTAAAAAGATTAAGGCAACGGCCTACTACAGCTTTCTCTGGGTGAGTCTTTTCAATAAAAGTTTGCATCTCTTCCCACATCTGACACACCTTCTTATTTGTGCATTAGGGACATTCGCTACTGCCTCATCCTCCTCCACTGGAGAAACATCATCAGCTGGGTCGTCTTGCTGTTCCTTTTGAAGGGCTTGGAGTTCTTCGTGGTCAGTTCTTCGTTGTTCTTTTCCACCAACTCCTCCACATCATCACCATCCAATTCCAAGCCCATTTGCCGGCCCAGAGTAACAATTTCCTCAACAATAGGTGCATCATTTAAAGGCTCAAATCCCTCAAAGTCTAGTTCTGTCACACATTCAGGCCATAATTTTCTCCAGCCAGAGATCAGGGTTCTTTGAGTCACTTCTTGCCAGGCTTTGTCAATGAGTTTTTAAAGAACTACAAATGTTCAAATGGTCTTTCCAGAACTCTTTGAGATTGAGGTTTGTGGCTTCAATCACTTCAAAACATTTCCGGAAAAGTGCCCTTTCATACAGTTTCTTAAATTCGCTATGATTTTCTGGTCCATATATAGGCTGAATTAGAGGAGTGGTGTTAGGAGGAAGGAACTTTATTGTGAGAAATTTACTGTATCTGTGCTCAATTCATCTTCCAATCCTGGAGGATGAGCAGGAGCATTGTCGAGGAGAAGCACGGCCTTGAGTGGCAAATGTTTCTCCTGCAGATATTTTTCTATGGCAGTGCACACCACTTCATTCACCCACTCTGAAAAAATAATCCTAGTCACCCATTCCTTTTTATTAGCCTTCCACATCACACACATTTGGGTTTTCTGCACTTTAAACTGTTTGAAAACCCTTGGATTTGAGCACAGCACAAGCATAAACCTATCTTTCATAGGCTTTCATAGGAAAAGCAAGACTTTTCCCTCCTTGGTAATGTGTCCTCTTAGGCAATCTTTTCCAAAACAGTCCTGTTTCGTCACAATTAAACACCTGTTGCGGTAGGTATCCCTCAGCCTCTGCAAACTCTTTAAATTCTTCAATAAATCGTTCAGCAACTGGTTTGTCTGAGCTGGCAGCCTCCCCATGCCTCGCAACACTATGGATACCACTTCTTCTAAATTTTTCAAACCAGCCCCTGCTTGCCTTAAACTCTTTCGTATCTGCATCACTCGTTTCAGGGGTGTTCTTTACAAGGTCTTTGTGCAATACCCTGGCTTTCTCACAAATGATGGCCTCCGAAACACTATCACCCTTTAACTCCTTGTCATGTATCCAAATTAATAACAACTTTTCCACTTCTTAAAGTATTTGTGGTCTTTGTTTCATTGTTCTAACGCCTTTTGCCACTTTAGCACTCATGATGTCCTTTTTCTTCTTAAGTATAGTGTATATTGTTGACGTGGGTTTGTTGTAATGCCTACAAAGTTCAATAACACTTGTACCATTTTCATGCTTCCGAATGATGTCGTTTCTCTTCTATTGTCATCCTCACATGGGCTTTCTTGCCTTGATCCTTACTACTGGCTTTCTTGGGACCCATGGTGAGATATATAATAAGTTTTATGGTCAAATGACTAAAAATCCAACAAAACACTGAAAATCCGTGCGAAGAATTGACGTGGGATAGTCACTGGGCGCGAGGCACTGGTAAACTGAGGGGCGACGATCGCCGTACCACCATGTGCTAGATCGGCCTGTACGTGTATCAACAAACTCGTGTTCCGAGATAACCCTCGCCTTCCGAGGCACATTTTCCGAGCAAATCCTGCTCGTATTCTATAAAAACTTTTATTCAGGGACACTCGTATTCCGAGGTACCACTGTACAAGTTATATATATATTTTGACATTATTAGGCGATGCTGTGGTTACAAGCTGAACAGTAGTGCTGTGAGCTCATGCTGCATGCGCTGGCCTTGGTTGCTCACTCACTACTGAGGCTCTCACACCTGGGAATGTGGACCACGTTTTTTTTTAAGATGGCGTCTGTTTACAAGAGCCCTGAGGAAGCTGATGTGAACCCTATGTAGCCGCCCGCGGAGTTTTGAATGGAACGTGAAAAATATAAATACCCGGAGGTGTGTAGACATGGCCCCAGACACGGGCTTGTAGGCGCGTTGCGCAGTTAAAGGGTTAAACAGCTATGTCCATTTCTTTGCAGTAAAGAATAAAAACAGTTCCTATGGAAACTAAGCATTCTGGTTTACATGATATTTTTAAATGCTGATTCTTGCTTATGAGTTAATCACTGGCATAAATTCATTGGTACAGAAACTTTAAAATTACAGTTTTAATTAATAGCAATAACAAAGTAGGCAATCAAGATATACAGAAACGAACTCAATTGAACAATTTTATTTTAAAGGCTAATGTTGAGGCACTTTACACATAAGACCTCTCCATGTAACATGACACCTGCTCTGCTCTAAGAGATTACAAAACATTTTTGTATGGTGGTAATAATCATGGTAAATATGGCTATAGTATATAACACAAATGTAAGTGCTAAGTTAACTTTATTGCACTATATGAAAATAATAAAATCTAATCAAAACTCTTATTTTTTTTTTATAAGGAAGGACAAGACTTACTTTAAAAAAACAAAAATGTCGCAGTATACAAAAAGAGCTTTTCCTCGGTTACCAAATTTACTCTTAAAAAAAATAATAAAAAATGAACTAATAATAAAAAATTGAATTTCGTATTTTTTGTAGCAAACAAATCATATGAAAACTGTTGCTTAGCCACCTGGCTGACACCTTGGACTTTCCTCACAAAACGCAGGAGATGGTGCTGGTGACCGTGTGTTGGGGAAGCACACACAACCATGTCAGTCACAGATTGTTAACTGAGCAAACCCTATTACTGCTTTATTATCTGGCACTTCATTAACTTCACAATCCAAATTCTGAAAACAAAAACAAAAATGTTTAGCAAAGTACTATTTTTTTTTTTTTTTTTTTTTTTTTTACAGATTTGTAAATTGCTATTCAGATATCAGTTAGGATGAACTAACATTGCTTGGCCAATGAACATGATACTCGACTCAAGAATCTCAACTTACCTCCTCAAGAACACTGACCTCATTGAGAATGCTAATGTCCTAAGTGATTCTCCATTTTCACCTTGTTGCATATTGTGGCCATAGTATACATGTATCGGTGGACAATATGGGGTGGTCGAGCATAGTTACAGAGCAAGACGTGGCCATAGTATACATGTATGGGTGTATAATATAGGGTGGGGTTGAGCGTGGTTACAGAGCAAGACGTGGCCATAGTATACATATATGAGTGGATATTATAGGGTGGTTGAGCATGGCTACAGAGCAAGAGGTGGCCATTGTATACATGTATGGATGGATTATATGCGGTGGTTAAGCATAGCTACAGAACAAGACGTGGCCATAGTATACATGTATGGGTGGATTATATGGGGTGGTTGAGCATGGCTACAGAGCAAGACGTGGCCATAGTATACATGTATGAGGTGGATAATATGGGGTGGTTGTGCACAGTTGCTCAACTGTGCAATATGGGGTGCTCACAGTTGCAGTTTCCATGGCGTAGTGGTAAGTAATTATCAAAAGAAGGCACCAAACCGGGAAGGCTATGTAGCACCATTAAATGTGCGGAATAATCAGAGGGCGCTAAATATCACCAAGGATGCCAATACGAGAACAAAAACGTACAAGGCGAATGATATCAAAAGTATCTGAGTCACCAAGAATTCTATTGAGGGACAGGTGACTGCGAGGGATGGTCGGAAAACAAGACACACGCTCGTCCTGGAAGTTAGGACATTCAAGAAGGACATGCACGACTGTAAGAGGGACAATGCAATTACGACAATAAGGAGCAGGGCGGCGCTCCATCAAGTGACCATGGGTTAAGCGAGTATGGCCAATATGCAACCTCGCCAGAGTCGTTTCCCATCGCCGGGTACAGTGGTAGGAGGACGGCCATGAGGAAACACAACATTTAAGAGTACGTAGTTTGTTACCAGTAACAGACGACCAAGAGGCCTGCCAATGGGTAAAGATGGAGGAATGGATAACCGGGTAAAAGTTGGAATATGGAATACCTTTACGAGAGATGGGCCAAGAGCGGACAGCTTCCTTGGCGGCAGCATCCGCACGCTCATTTAAAGACACATCAATATGGCTGGGAACCCAACAAAACTCAACCGACTTAAATTTACTGTGAACAAGAAACAGCCAATACTGGATCTCGACAACTACTGGATGAACCGGTTTAAAGGACCCGAGAGCCATGAGGGCACTACGAGAGTCAACAACAACTACAAAGGAAGACTGACAATGAGAAAGCAGGAGACGAAGAGCATAGAGAATAGCATAAAGCTCCGCTGTGAAGATGCTAGTCTCCGGAGGTAAGCGACACATATAAGTGCGATCAGGAAAAACAACAGAGTAGCCAACACCGTCCGCAGACTTAGACCCATCAGTGAAGACAGAAACGGAGCGGGAGTGAGAAGAAAAGTGCTCAAGGAAAAAGCGTTTTAGAACCGTAGGAGGGGTAAAAGCTTTAGTGAAGCAGGTCAAGGAAGTACAAAACTGCAGAAGAGGGACTCTCCACGGGGGCAAAGAAGGAACAACACGAGGAGAAACATTAGCAATACAAACTGAAAGGGAATCCTGTAAGCGAGATAATCGGACAGAAAGAGGGAGGTGGTGAAGAGGAACAGGAACTGCAGGAGGGGTAAAAGTTAAAGCACGACAGAGGCGAGAGGAAGGATGTTGCAAGGACCGCGCAAGATAGCGAAGACAGTAGCGATCACGCCGGTTCTGGAGAGACATGAAACCAGCGTCAACATACAAGCTAAGGACGGGAGTCGAACGAAAGGCACCAGAACTGAGGCGCAACCCAGTATGGTGTAAAGCATCAAGATGGCGAAGAGTAGAAGGAGAAGCAGACGAGTAAGCAGGGCAACCATAATCGACCTTAGACAGGACGAGAGAGGAATGTAAAGCAAGGAGTGCGCGCCTATCTGCTCCCCAAGAAGAATGGGACAATACCCGAAGGAGGGTAAGGGCGTTAGAGCACTCAACACGGAGGTAAGAGATATGGGGAAACCAAGACAAACGAGTGTCAAGGAATAACCCCAAAAGCTTCTCAGAATTTTTGTACTCAAGGGGATGACCATAAAGTGACAAAGAGGGACGAAGAACAACCCGTTTCCAAGTAAAAGTCATGGCACAAGTCTTAGTAGTAGAGAACTTGAAGCCATGATCGGTGGCCCAAGACGACACGGCATCAATCGCAAGTTGAAGCCGGCGTTGAAGGAGAGGCGAATCATCACCCTGACAGCAAAGGGTAAGATCATCGACATAGAGAGCAGAGAAGACGCCTGAAGGAAGAGAGGAAACAAGACCATTGAGGGCAACCAGAAAAAGAGTAGTGCTCAGAACACTACCCTGGGGCACACCTTCGTATTGCTGAAAAGAGGCAGAGAGAGCGGTACCAAGCCGCACCCGAAAGGAACGATGAGAGAAGCTGTGGAGAAAGAGAGGGAGATGACCACGAAGGCCAAAAGAATGAAGTTGAGATAGAATATGATATCGCCAAGTGGTGTCGTAAGCCTTTTCCAGGTCAAAAAGGACGGCAACAACGGAGGTCTTCGCAGCAAAAGCAGTACGAATATAGACCTCCAAGTTCACCAGGACATCTGTCGTGCTGCGGCACTTGCGGAAACCAAATTGAGAAGGGGAGAGGAGGTGATAGTGTTCCAGGAACTACATCAGACGAACGTTAACCATACGTTCAAAGAGTTTGCAGACACAACTTGTGAGAGCAATAGGGCGAAAGTCCTTAGGGGAAGTACCCAGAGACCCTGGTTTGAGAACAGGGAGGACAACGGCATCGAGCCAGTCCTCAGGGACTGACGACGACTCCCAGATCTGATTATACAGACTCAGTAAATACTGAGACGTGCACGGAGGGAGATGGCGAAGCATCTCATAATGAATACCATCGGAGCCCGCCGCCGTAGAACCGCAGAGGGCCAGGGCAGAACGAAGTTCAGAGAGAGAGAAGGGATCATTATAGGGAAGCTGAAGATGAGTGCAGAAATCTAAAGGACGAGACTCAAGGACAGGTTTACGAAGAAGGAAAGATTGGGGAAGATGAAGACCAGAGCTAACAGAAGAAAACTGGGAACCCAGTTCGGTAGAGACCTGTAATGGGTCCGCCACAAGAGTACCACGGAGGTGAAGGACCGGTGAAACATCGGGAACAAACTTACCCGCTATTTTGCGAATACCCTTCCAGATCTGTGGCAGAGGAGTTTCAGACGTAATGGTGGAGACATAGGATGCCCAACATTCACGTTTAACCATATGGATGGCCCTACGGGCCACCGCACTTGCCTTCCGAAAGAAAAGAATCGGCCGTCTACCGACGGCAGTGTCTCTTCCAGGCTGCAAGCTTACAGCTGTCAGCCCGAGCACAGTCTGCATTCCACCAGGGAACACACTTCCGTGGACCCCGAGAGGAAGAGTGGAGGGCAGCGTCGAAGGCAGTGTCATGAAAAAGGAGGAGAGAGCGAGGGAGAGGTAGAAGGGAGAAGTCGGAGAGAGCAGCGCTGAGGGTAAAGAGGTCCCAGTCCGCTTTCGCAAACTGCCACCTAGGGAAGGAGAGGGGAGGGCGAAAAGAGAAAAAGGTAACAAGGTTGGGGAAATGGTCACAGCCATGGAGGTCATCAAGAACCTGCCACATGAAATCTAAGTAAAGAGAAGAAGAGCAAAGAGAAAGATCAAGACAGGAAAGGGTGCGAGTCCGAGAGTCCAAATGCGGGGCTCACCAGAATTCAGAAGAGACAGGGAAGAAGAGAGGATAAACGGCTCAAGAAGGCAACCTCGGGTGTTCGTCAGAACATCACCCCAAAGAGAATGACGACAATTGGAATCACCCAGCAGGAGCACAGGCTCTGGCAAAGAGTCCAGTAAGTGTTTCAGATCAGGAAGAGAAAGCGGGACACTTGGGGGGAGATAAATGGAACAAACAGTGTACCATTTCCCCACAAAGATACGAGCAGCAGAACAATGGAGGCGCGAAGGAAAAAGTAAGAGGACAAAGGGAACATCAGAGCGAATCAAGAGACCAGAAGAGTTAGGAGTTAGGGGAGAGAAAGGAATAGCCACGAAAGCGACCAGGACGAGCACCAAGCATCGGCTCCTGGAGACAGACACAAAGGGGCGAAAACCGCGAAATCAGAAGTTGGAGTTCGAGGAAGTTGGCGTAATAACCTCGAACGTTCCATTGAAGAATAGACATCGACGAGAAGAGAAAAGACAACAACAGAGAACAAGGAAGAAACAAAGGCGAAAGAGCAACATGGCACGTTAAAGAAGATCAGGGTCAGCAAAGTCAGGGTTAGGGGGCATGGGTAAACTGAGCAAAGATGGAGGGAAGGAAGCGGGAGAACAGACCAGAAGTGGGCGGGCGGGGTCCGGAGGAGGAAGAAGAGGAGGAGACAATGGAAAGGAGCAGTCAAGGACAGCAGCACGAAGAGGAGAAGTAGAAAGAGAGGAGCGCACCTCAGCAAGGGCAGCAACCGAGAGGGAAGCAGGGGCCAAAGAAACCTCCATAGCAGGAACAGGGGGTGCAACCACCAAAACGGGAATGGAAGGAGCAATAGAGTCAGTAGTAGGGGCCGAGGAAGAGAGCGAAGCCTTCTTACCCACCAGGGAGGAGGAAGGAGAGGAGCCAGGCTTACGCTTCTGACTTAAAGAGACCGATGTCCCAGCAACTACGTACCGGGCAACGGATTCCAGCGTCTCAACAGGAGAAGCTGAACGAGAGCACACACGACGGCCGTTAGGAGAGCGATGGACATCAGCCCGCACCGACTGGTGGCGGGGAGAGTCAATAGACAGAGGAGAAGGATGGG